ACAGAAACAAAGAAGAGGGCGTACAGGAGCATTAGAGCTGACGATTAGAAATACTCGGAAGACCTAGCAAAGCACGGGTAGCATTCCTACAATCGTGCTTCGGTTTAGACACCCGGGCAGTATGTCAGCCTTCACACAACTCAATGATAACTACTACCGGCCTGATTGTTATTGTGTGGCGCATTTATATTTGGTGCCCTATTGTACCAATGTTTGTGTATTCAAGTAATTCGGTAAATAATAAAATCCTGCAATTATAGATTATATAGAACTCAAAACAACTGTCAATCAATATCAAAGTCAGAATATTCATTACGAACGTCAAGACAGATCTACTGTACAGAGCTGAGATCTAGAGAACTACTATAACCATCACCAAAAAGCGCAGTTATTTGTGAACAAGCTACTCAATGTTCGTTGGCCGGATACCATCAGCAACAACCTACTGTGGGAGAGAACAAACCAACTTCCAGCTGAGGAGGAAATTGGGAAAAGATGCTGAAGATGGATAGGACATACATTACGGAGATCATCAAACTGCGTCACGAGGCTAGCCCTAACTTAAAATCCTGGAGGTAAAACGGAAAGAAGAGGACCAAGGAACACATTTCGTTGGGAATTGGAGGCAGGCATCAGAAGAATGAATAGCGATCGGGAAGAACTGCAAAGGACTGCCCAGGACAGAGTTAATTGGAGAATCCTGGTTGGCGATGTATGCTCTCACGAAGGGTTATAAGCTTAAGTAACGAAGTGCAGTAGGTAAACCGATCATCATTTTATGAAGTCATTATCTGTATGTTCGAAGTGTGTATGGAAATGTCGATTTTCCGATAATAATTCTCAAAATCATAGGATTTGGTATTTGGAGAATTACTGTCAGCTTAAAAATCTGTCACAGTATAAATTAGATACTCACTATTATTAGCTTGTCTGTAAGCAAATTATTATTTATTTGCATCCCTGTTTACTCATATATTTCTCGTTAATTTTGCATTCGTGTTCATCTTCTCCCCACCTCATTCGGGTATTGTGGCGTCCCGGCCTAACAGTTAGTTATCGGTAACTGTCTGCTGTAATTTCTCTCAGACAACAGATTATTCACCGTAAGTAGGAATTTTAAGTATAAAGAAAGACACTGTCTAACCTGCGGACTTCCAACATAACGATTAGCACAAACAAATCATATCGCCGTCAGTCATATTCGGTAGAAAACTGCCGCTTCTACTGGAGTGCATATTTGGACTCCGATCATGTCCTAGTGAGAGCACTGATTTCTATCCATCTTACTCGATAGGGAAAGTCGAAGCAGGTAAACCCTTCTGATGTGAATTTGAAGATGCTTATGTCAGTGTTGCAAGGAACAATTAGTCAACCACTTATTCATCCTGAAAAATCTTGGAAAGATATGCAGACACCAGCGACACCATTAACGGTATATATGTCAAAAGTTAGGAAAGATAAGTGGATTTCAGTAACATTTACCGAATTGATTTGGGTGTAAAAGCTCATCCCAACAAGCTCGGTAAACGATGAACTCTCCGAAAGAAAATTTGACACATTCTTCAGAAAGCTAAACGCTCAGACATAGTGCTCGTAGGGGGTGACCTCGATGCTCAGATAGGTAGCTTAAACCAAACAGAAAGGCATTTAGGTGGATATTTTAGTATTCCGACACAGCGAACAGATAATGGTGATCGTCTGCTGCAACTGTGCTCAGACAATCGTTTATTTTTAGCAAACACAAATTTTAAGCATAAGGAGAGACATCGTCTAACATGGCGACCCCCTACACCAAACCAACGATTGACTCAAATAGACCATATTGCCATCAGTCATCGTTGGAGAGGGTCGGTAGAAGATTGTCGCTCATTCTGGAGTACCTGCTTGGACTCCGACCACGCCCTAATACGGGCACGCATCTGCTTGCGCCACACTGGACGCAAAAAAGCCACATTAAAAAGACCCATTAGAACTGATTTGAGTAACGAGAAAACCAAAAGTAGGTTCCAGGAACAACTGACATCACACTTAGGTAGTTCTGAAAACGAGGCTGACCCAGATATTGCTTGGAAAGGCATACAATCAGCTGCGGAAACAGCAGTGACGTCTATTAGTGACTTAAACCACAGGGTTACAAAGAACCAGTGGATTTCTTCAAAGTCTATCACACTGATGGATTCTCGCGAACTCGTCCCATCAGGTTCCGAACATGATGAAGAGCGACAACAAATCAGATCTAGGTTAAGAAAAAGTCAAAGAAACGACCGTGAGCAGTGGTGGGCAATGAAAGCAAAAGAGATGGAAAAGGCGGCGACTATAGGGACCACAAGACAGCTTTACAGACTAATAAAAGAAACTGGAACTAATAAGTCAAGTGTAAGTGAGATTATTTCGGAGAAAGACGATACTCTCATCTGCTCCCAGTCCAGACGTTTAGAACGATGGGCGGAACATTTCAGAGAACACTTCAACTGGCCTTCAGCTACTCTACAATTACCCTCCATTCCCAGACAGCGTGAATGGAACATTGAAGTAGGTCCCCCAACTCTTGCTGAAGTCCAAAAGGCTATAGTTAATCTGAAACGAGGAAGGGCAGCTGGTCCAGATGGACTGGGTCCAGAAGTCTTTAAGGATGGTGGTCCAATTTTAGCGATTAGGTTGACTAATATTTTAGCTAAGATCTGGGAGTCAGACGATATCCCATCTGACTGGTCGCAATCACTTATCGTCCCAATATATAAGGGTCAAAATCATCCTGTGACAACCATAGAGGGATTAGGTTAACTAATATAATATCTAAAATACTAGCCTCGATAATTATCAGACGCCTAACTAAGACTCGTGAACTGCAAACACGAGAGAACCAAGCTGGCTTCAGACCTGGTCGCCATTCGTCAGGTTCTAGAACACAGGCATACTTATCGGCATCCGACAATGGTGGTCTTTTTCGACTTAAAAGCAGCATTTGACTCTGTAAATCGCGAGATTCTGTGGCAGTGTCTGTCATCGAAAGGCGTACCACAGAAGTACATAAACCTTGTAAAGGCTCTTTACTCGAACACTACTAGTCGAATCAAAGCTTATGGCGAACTGTCATCTACTTTTGCAACCTCAAGTGGTGTCCGTCAAGGCTGTCCACTTCCTCCATTTCTGTTTAACTTCATCATAGATCTACTGATGGAAATAATGCTCTCATTGACTGAATTGTCGGGTACTGATCTCCTACCAGGAGGTCCACTTATCGACTTAGAATACGCAGATGATATAGTCCTGTGTTGGCGAGGACGCTGATAAAATGCAGTCTTTCGGTAGCACTGAGCAACAATGCCAGGATGTTTGGGATGCGTTTCTCCCCCTCTAAATTCAGGTTGTTGCTTCATGATTGGCCTGTGTCAACACCTGAACTGAGGATAGGGCGTGAAGTAGTCGAACGCGTTGACAACTTCACTTATCTTGGAAGTCTGATCAGCCCTAATGGGTTGGTGTCTGACGAAATCTCAGCACGGATTCGAAAAGCTCACTTGGCTTTTGCCAACTTACGTCACCTATGTCAAAGGCGAGATATCCGTCTATCAATAAAAGGACGAGTATACTGCGCGGCAGTCCGTCCTGTTTTAATTTACGGCAGCGAAACATGGCCACTAAGAGTAGAAGACACTCGTAAGCTATTAGTATTTGACCACAGATGCCTTAGAAATATTGCTCGCATCTGCTGGGATCACCGGGTAAGTAATAGTGAGGTTAGACGCAGGGTATTAGGGAATGATGGTAAACTAGTTGATGAAGTTATGAATCTTCATCGACTGAGATGGTTGGGCCACGTGTTACGTATGCCTGAATACCGATTACCACGACGTGCAATGCTATCCGGTATTGGAGATGGTTGGAAGAAAGTTAGGGGTGGCCAAACCAAAACGTGGCATCAGTGCTTGAAGACACTAACTTCTAGTCTGAGCCATGTTGGTAGATGCAGACTACTTGGTTGGGGTCCGCGTGACTATCGTAACCGATGGTTGGAGACTCTGGGTGACATGGCTCAGAATCGATCACAATGGCGTCGGTGTATACACTCCCTGTCTTCCCTTAAACTAAGAGATTAAAATTGCTTCATGCCTTTTTTCTACGAACCAGTTTTTTCTTGTACTATATCTCTATATGCAATCTTTCTCTTATATATTACCACCTTTGACCTAACCACTGCTATGAATCCGGTGTCCATCTTGTGTGCTGATGCGGTATGGCAACCTGGACCGATACACATATGTGCCTGGTCCTACGTTGTAGCTGACTGACTGACTGACTAAGGACAGTATCTCACTATAATTTACCGATTATTTCTCTATTTTTCGTTAAATATTCTTAGGTTCATGCCTGGAGGCATCGGTGATCCACCGCCACTAGATACGGAAGCCCGTTGGGCAAAAGCTTCTTCTAGAACCACTTGACATTATTAAGCGATTGACTTAGCCAAGAACTTGCTGTGTTCAAGCGACTGGACTTGACTAGTGAAAACGTACGCGTAGTACGTCTTTAAACTTTCCTCCACGTTTATAATTGTAAACCGAAAGCAAAGCGTTGTAATTAGAGACTTTACGACTGAGCGTCGTGAATTCCTAAGCTCATTTTCACTGTAACGCCGCATCAAATTCTGTTACATCAACTTCGTCACTTAAGTAGGAAGCCATGTTGGCTCAAATAATAGGCACTGGAAAAGATAAAAAGCTCATTATGGTACGTACGCATTGCATAGAATTATATACAAGTTGTTTTAACACCTGTTGGTGACATACCCCAAACGACTACAAAAAAGTACATTACTGGAAGAAATAAAGGGTTCAGATGGTCTCAAACCTTAATATCTGAAAATCAAATTATAAAAATGAGTGAGAGTACATTCAATGATGCTGAAGACAGTCAGAGAAAAATCTAGATAGGTGTGAAACTATTCCACTAAGTATACATATTGTGACTCAATAATCAGAAAAGCATCTAAAACCTACTGTACTTCTTTCAATGTGGGTTTAACAGACGTCCTGTTAAAATAAGACTGATCGGAGTGAAGTTTTATTTCTTCCAGTTTGTAAATCGCTTCCTAAGGGTATTGTTACCAGAGATTTATTCTTACGTTCATGATTTTGTGGAAGTTTTGGTGTGTCGTGTAAAAGTAGCTATTAAGTGGTCTGCCATTTACATCACACTGCAATTCTAAACGAGTGTCATTAAAAGACTGATAACTAACGCTTTTGCGGTGGAAACACTAGGTGTGGTTCCTACAATTTTTTGAAAATTAGACAAACGTATCTTTACTTTAAAGACAGGACGTGCACGTTTAGCATACAACGAGGACGGAAGCAGATACTCAATAGCCTCATTGACCTGCTCAGGTGTGAAATGGACAGGGTCATAACCCATAACTTGAGCAAGGAACTTCCTGCCATTTTCATATTCTTTCTTTTCGATACTAAGTATCATTTCTGAAATTCACTGTAGTGAGTTACATTAAAAACATACCGTTTTTCTCAATATTTTTCAGATAACTCTTAACAGAATTGATCTTGCTTGAGTTTTGGATTCCTAACGATAAACTTCTGGCTCCTTCAAAAGCTTGAAAACATCCACCTAAAGCAGATAATGTAGTAAGACGATGTAGCGCAAACATCGTCATGCTGCCTGAGGTCATACCGCGACGTTTTACACAAAGTAATTCAATAAACAATATCTTTGTGGCGAATATTTATAGACTGATCAATTTCTTCGCCCTCGCTTCGTGATCTTGGGGTGCGGTTTCAAGTTGATCATTACATACAATATGTATGTTCTATTAGTTTAGATGCACGGATACTAGAGGATTTGTTAATAATTCGAGAAGTTTAATACTTTCTTTGGTGCTATTAAGTGTGCTTACTCTAGGACAGTGTGGTTGCACATTAACCCGAATACTTCCAATTACGATATTGTCGTCGTGATGAAGATTATAACTGAACATTCGGGTATAAAGATGCCACAGGTATTCAGAGTTTGATAACGCCTTCACCAGTAGCACCTTCATAATCGAAGTATGCCAACCCAAGTAAATCGGAAGTCAGAAGTGAAGAGATTCAAAGCTATATTGAAAGGCGGTCGGTATGTTGAGAAGCGTTTGATAGAAGCTGGTAAACGGTTGTAGGAGATGCGTGGCACGATGTGCCCACTCGTGATCTGGTGCAGATGCGTGACCAAGCGCTTTCAGATAGGTTAGCCCAGTAAAACTAGTGCTGTCAGTATCAAATGTCGAAAACTTGCAGAATAATTTATTTTGGGAACTTTTTACAGCTACAGCTTATTCCCCCCCTTGTGCGGTAGTGATGACCTGAATGCGTGGCCTGACAGAAGTTTAAACCTAATGAGATTGTCTTTGGTGAATACTCTTCTGATGGCTTGCTATATTCAGCGTCATCTGGCTATCTTTTCCTAATATAAGGGGCCATATGGTACATAATAACAATGGAAAAAAATGGAAGTTTCGATTTATCGTAAAATTCATTGGTCTTTTCATCTTTTCCAGCCGTCCTGGAAAGAAAAAAGGAATCATAAGTGCATGTCAAGATACACTTATACGTCAGGAAGGACATACAAACGGGGGAAAAGGGAAAATAAACTAATATAAATGTGTTTTGGTAAGATGAAATAGAATAGGAAAAATTTTCTCACGATGATCTTTTTGAAAAAAAATATATACGCATATTCAAATACGTATGAATATATATACAATAAACGTTTTGTCCTTGGTTAACTTGGTTTTGTTTTACTTGAATATTCCCATTGATGTTTGGGACTGAAATTGATCAGTCTCTTATTGGCATATGTGCATACTGCGCGTATTACCTCGATATTGCCTTAATTTGCAAGCATTAAAAGCAAAGATAAACTCAGCAGGACTCAGTAGCCAAGTTGATAACGCGATGGCATTTGAATCGAACAGTGCTGGCTTCTAGTCCCAGAGTGAACATCAACTCTGAGATGCAGGTACATCAAGCTGAAGAGTCCCAAATAGAACTAAACGCGCGTCCTGGAATCCACTGCTAGCCACTATTCCATCTTTGCTTATTTTGTCCTTGGTTTGTTTTATTTTATACATTGATGCAAAAAATAACTAGAAGGAACAAAATGTTATGTTTTGTCCTACACACAGTGATCTTTTAAGTGTTCCGGGAACCTTACCCTTCTTCCAGAAGACGTTGTCATAGATTGGTTGTGATATACCACTCAAGGTTCTTCCTGACTGTTGATTATCGGGAGGGGTACCATAACTGTGGGTCTTTTGTCATTTAAATGTACTGGAGGAAGGTCAAAATTATTAGGGTCTCCTTCTAAATACACGGCTTTAAGACGATAGAAGTTGATGCTGTCGTTAGTCCCGTTCTTATTTATGACATGGCACCTAGGTTAAAGCTGAAGGCCTTCGTATGCTATTTTGACAAGTCATCGAAATGAGACGCTACTCACAAAAACGTGTGCACTACGTCGTAGAACAGGCTGTACGAAAACATCAGTTGACCATGGTCGAGTGGAAACAGGTTTGTTGAACGTATGGCGTTTGTGAGCCTGCTAGTGTCGGAATTCTAGTCCATATTTATTGAAGATGAAGGATCCACGAATTTTCCCGGAAGTCGGAGTGTCGTTCCGTAACCGTGTTGAACTGCCGTTTATCCAGAGCCAGCTTTCACCGCATTGTGAATTTCGAGTAACACGAGTGGAAGAGCGTCAGTTCATTGTGATATTTTTGTAGCAGAGAGTGAAGCTATTAACGGTCGGTGAAATTGTTCTATCAACCCGATCGTTTGTGAGTTGTTTGGAAGCGTGTAATTCCTAACAGTGTTGCCGGAAGACGGAAAAGTCTGGATTCGAACTGGTGTCCACGTTTTGTAATGGAAGTTGAACGGTAGTAGACGTTTGCCACTCATCGTTCGACGAAGAGTCGGGTTACTGTTTCCGCAGCAATTTCTTTGGTAGGTACTGCTTCTAGCCAACATGTGAAACGGTCTACACACGTTAAAATGTGAGAGTATATATTTGAATCTGGTAAGGATCCTATCAAATGAAAATGGAGCATCAGTACTTGCGGAAGAGTCCAAGGGACATTTATTGTGTCTTACCACCTAAGGTTCTGACAGCTTACACGGGTGTGTGCCCACACTTTACGTCTTCATTCATACCAGGCCAGAAAATCTTCCTGCTATGAGCTTGGTGGTAACTTCAACACCTGGATAAGAAAGCTTGTGCAACGTACTGAAGACATTTAGTCAATAATATTTCGGCATGATTGGACGATCTCTCCCTGTAAATGTGTGATATAGTAGAGTTTATTTACCTGTTCCCAACTTTTTGATCCACAGTTTCAGGGTTGTCGATGATAACTCGTGCTGAAGATCAGTGATTACTCTTAGAAGCTAAGCAAGTCTAAGAGAGTCGATTCCTTGGAAACTGTTCAAGGGAGTTACGCGAGACAAAGCGTCTGAAACTGTATTGCTTGCCCCAGAAACGTGTTGTAAATCCTAAGTAAACCGAGAAATGCAGTCTAGTTGTACTTGTCTTAAGATGGGCCTAGAGAGAAGGTGAGAAGTTTGAGATTGTTGAGCAGATTGAATTCTCGTCCTTCCTCTAAGTATGAAAGTGCCGCACAGCAAAACAAATGGCCCGGGGTTCTCCATCGAAAGTCTACCACGATACCAATGGGTGCTTTTATGTCCTGGTATGTGAACATAGCTGCTCTTTCGACAATTTCCTTGATAGTTATTGTGCGTTCATTTTCATTAGAAACTAATATCATTATAAGCAGAGAAAGGAATTTTCTACTACGTTCACTGTCATCCTCAATATATCTGCTACCTAAATTCCGATTTCGGTCTTTTCCTTGATCACTCGACTTCTTTACCAAACGTTCAGACAATTTAAGTATCTTAGAAATCGTTTTCTCCGCTGCGACAATTGACAGTGCCCGAAACTCTGAGAGAACTTCTATCTGCCAGGCAGCTCGAGGGATACAGTAGCCATAGTAGTTTGAAAATAAACTAAGCAATGAACCCGACCGAATTATCAGGGTTTTGAAACTGTGGCGTACAGGAAATAGTCGCAAGCGTAAAATATTTAAGCTGTCAATTAACATACGGCGCATAGTACAATTGGTGACACATACTAAGGAAAAAATTAACAGATTAGAAACAGGCTGGAGTGCATTTAGGTCTGATAATTTACTGTATGCAATAATAAACTCCGCCAGTAGCTATTTTAGGTTTATTGCCCCGATGAAGCATGGAGGTCAGATGACAGACTCATTCGAGGTTAAGAGCGGTGTCAGGCAAGGTTACTTACTATCACCTTTTGCTCTTTCTCCTGGTGATCGAATGGGTCATGGAGTCGTTAAAATCTGAAGGAAACATGGGATACATTGAACAGCTAGGATGCAGTTAGACGATCTAGACTTCGCAGATGATCTGGCTCTTCTATCGCAAACGCCAGCGTAGCATCAGTAGGTCTCAACATACACAAAGGGAAAAGCAAGATTCTCTAATATAACACAGAATGCAACAACAGAATCAAACTTGACGGAGAACATCTGAAAGATGTAAAAACCTTTACATATCTGGGCAGCATCATTGATGAACACGGTGGATCTGATTCAGATGTGAAGGCGTGGATCAGTCAAACAAAAGCAGCATATTTACAGCTGAAGAACTTCTGGACCTCGAAAAAACCAAAGAAGGAGTGGAAGACCAAAGAACTCATTACGTCGAGAAATAAAGACAGACATGAGAAAAATTAACAAAATTTGAATAGGACTGGAAAGTAAGTTTCAGGACAGAGTGTGTTGGAGGAATCTGGTCGGTGGCCTAGGCTTCATTGGGAGTAACAGGCCTAAGTAAGGGATCATGCAAACTAAATATTCAGTTGAACTTTCCCGTGATACTAAAATTAAGACCTTTTGTCGGTATTTTGGATATTGGCAAGTAAATTACTCATTTTCATTTATTATCGTTTGCGTTTAGCGTAATCTTACGTGTCTGTCTTTAAACTATGTACGACAAATGTTGAGTTTTGTAGTAGGGTTTGTCCATTACATGTATAATAATCACTAGTTTTTAATTCGGGACGATGCGCTCTCGGCCTAGCTGTTGCACCGTATGCAAGTGGGTTTATGCTGTGGTTCCATTACATTCAAAAAGCACTCATGCATCTCTCCAACCTATTGTTTATAGCATGGAACTAGATTGCAACAGTCAGCCTGCAGCCCTTCTAGGGTTGCTTCCGGTTCCAAGACCGGATAAAGGAGAAGGTTGAGCGCAAAGTCGGCAACCTCATCACGTGGAGAGGAACCTTGACAAAACAACGCTAACCAGAAAAAACTTTAAACTTTCGCCTGGGAGTTGAAGGATCTTCATTTAGATGTATTATGACGCCTCGTGGAGAAAACGGAGTTTCTTCGTAAATCATGAGGACGATTCGCCTTCTAATAACCAGAGCAACAATTAATATAGGTGTCTGGAATGTTCGGACAATGTGGGAGACTGGGAGGACCAGTTGAATAGCTGAAGAAATGAGGATATAGAAATTGGCGGTACTCGAAGTAAGTGAAACACATTGAACTCGAGCTGGACAGAAAAGATTAGCTTCGGTGGAGATACTGTCTAAAGAAGCATGAAA